GGGGGGAGGGGAGGGAGTTACGATGATGGATCAGCAAATCGTGGATGACTCGGTGACCTCAGCGATGGTTAAACGATTCATAGGTGGCCTTTATACGTCTTGTCGCTTGAAATCAAAGACACTTTTTTCATTTTTCCCATGATCTATGTTAAGCAGGTTTTTTTTTTTTTCGTTCAAACAAACGACTTTTTTTTGAGTGAAGTTTTTTAGTGCTGTGGCTCGTTCGATGACCGAATTGCGCACATTTCGTTTGGATTGCTATACAATGCCAGCAAATGTATCGGCTCTTTTCCCGAACAGCCCACATATGAGAGTTTATTCGTTGCTTCTAAAACAGGTAAGCAGGGAATCTGTAATAAATTATGCAACATTCGCAATGTTATCTTTCTAGGGTCCAGTGGAAGGGAGGGATTACCCAGTTGCCCATCCGGGTAATACTTTTAGCTACAGGGCCGCTGTTCCGACCCCTTCTTTCCCTCACAGGGCCCTTCAGGCCAGTACTGCCTTTTTGTAGTAATTAATTATAAATAGAGGTACTCATTGAGGGGTGGAGGAGGGATGGGGGAATGAGCATACATGTTTTTTGTGACACGTTAGCAGTACTGGGCTTAAGGAATTGAGATTATGGAACAGGGGATATATGGCATCATGCCAAAATTCTGGTGAACGAAGAGAAACTGGTGACAGTAACGATCAGCGGAGAGATGAATGTTAGGTGTCAGCAGGTTACAAATATAATCATCATCGAGCTGCGATCATGTTCTGGCATAAAAGGCGTGATAAAGGAAACGTATGCCAGAAAGGGAAGCTGAATTGGGGCGCCTCAAAGACATTTATTGCGAAGTGACTATTTCGCTTACCGGATAATGTGCGAAGCTGAAACTTCGCTGGGATATTCTAATTTCATGTGTGGCCTTAATTCAGTTTGGAGGTGAAATTCCCTGCAGGTGGGTATGAGGAATTGTGCTGATAGTTTTTTTACTGTTCTTTTAGCACATGTAGCAAGAACAACAAATAACGAATGTTAGGATGGCACCTTTGAAGTGTTAAAAGAACAGTAGAAAAACTATCAGCACAATAATCTACTAACTCGTATGAATTAGGGGTTGTTTGATTGCGAAAAGCACAGGGCCAGCAGTGCGCGATGAGCCGATTACTATTACTTTCAGACAGACCTAGGATACTTCAAGGCCTCGTTCTCTTCCAGTCTCCCCAGCTAGAGATATTCATTGTTTGCATCTTTAAAATTTCTGAAATACTTCGATTAGCATAAATCCGGCGCTGCAGTGTAAGAATTCTTACATTTTTAGCCAGCGAATGTTGGCGTAACAAATTCGGCAATTGCTGGAGCGTCAAATTTGCACTACGAATGTAAATATGTTCGTCCGGAGTTTGTTGTTGATTTCTTTGCTTATTTGGGGGATGTGTATCTCGAGCTTGAGCAACTTGATATCTCATTCGATACCAATTATCCGGTGAACGAGGAACGAATTTATCATTATTTATGGTAATTTATTTTTCCTTTTTTTGCGCTTTCCTCCCTGTATGTGGTTTTGCTCCCCCCTAATTGGTTTTTCGTTTACATCTGATCTTTGGTTTTTGGGCAGTGATGATTAGTGATTAGTGGTTACTAGAAGGTCATTTTTAGTGTTTATATCATGTTCTGTTGAAAAGTGTTTATGGGAATTACAGGAAAGTGGGCTGGACAAACAAACGAATGATGGAGGAGGGGGGGGGGGGGGGGGGGGGGGGGG